TAATCATCATTCTAGAATATGTAATGAGTTTTACAAGCTTCTCTCAGTCTGTATTTGTACTGCTGCCCAAGAGTTGTATATAAAAATGGAATATTTTCTGATAATGGATGATAACTATTTATAACTTAAAATATTTAATAAAATTTTTTAAATTCATATTATGTAAAATGTAACAGATACGAGTGCACCTATAGGATTTAGTGATTTTAATTTTATTTGACAGCCTATATGACAGATACGAAGATACATACGGAAATATTGTGAATATTCCGTATTCACAATAATTCTATATTTGAATGTGTACGTACACTTTTTATTCAATACGAGTATAATTTTTTCACTAATTTTTTGTTTTTTCTTGCTTTTGTTTTTAAAATTTTTCTTGTTTATAAAAATGACAGTAGATTATTTATGTAAATGCACTTATGTTTATTAGCTTCATATTTTCGTGTTATATAATACACTTTGTTTTTTTTTTGTTTTTCTGCTTTTATTATATTCTTGAATAATTTTCATGCCTATTTTCAATTGTTTTCCTTGTAAAAAAAATAAAAATAAATAAAACAAAGGTAAGGAGATGTTAAAAGATATTTTATTAAAATAAAAAAAATATATATTTTTATATAGATTAAGTAATTCGCATATGTATTTAAAACAAAACACACAAAAAAAAAGAAGAAAATTACAAAAATTAATGTTAAAAAACAAAAATTGTTTCAGTTTTGTAAGAGGCATTTGGTGTAATAATCAACAAAAGAATTAAGAGAATGAATTAAAAATAAAAAAAAAAATGGTGTTCATTATTTATTTTATTTTTTTTAAATTAGTCTAATGGATTTTCTCATTCAAAAAAACAATAAATAAATGTACTCAAAAAAACAAATATGAATTTAAAAAACATTCATTTTTAATTTATTTTATTTTCGTTTTTATTTTCACTTGTCAATTTTATTAATGTTAAAGCACGAAATTAACTCAATTTTTATTACTTTTACCTACATATATATATGTATGTCATTTTTTGAGAAAAATATTAGTTAGAACCTTCTTTTCCTTAGCGTTTCAATGCCTGCAACACCTACGTAATGTACATATCAGACTCAAAATTTAATTTTCTCAAATTTTCTTGTCTTTAACAAAATAGAATGTTGAGACGAGTTTCGAGCATAGTTTGCTCGAAATATCAATTACTTTTAACAATCAGTTCAAATCACTTCTATTTTGTCGTCATGCATACATTTAGGATGAGACAAAAGAAATTTAATAACACGTTAACATAATAGAGAATTTAAGGGTTAATTGCGTGAGTTAAGATAAAGAATTAAATTTTTTGATGCAATGGCATTTACCATTTATGAAAAGCTTGCAGTTTCGAAAATACAAGGTACCGAAAATCCAAATTTTACGAAATTTTAAGATTGCGATAACGTGAAAGGTGATGAAGGTGGAAAAGTAACATTGAGCGTCCTAAGTTTTTCAATTTGAAGAAAACCAAAATTCCACAACAGTCTCAAATTTTATGAAATTTGAAGTTTTCACTGAATTTCGGGTTTTATGTCTAGCTTAAAAATAATTACATATGTATTTATGTACATGAAGAAATTCGTACATCTGTGCAAAAGTATTCTAATATTTATATAGTTATACAATAAATTAGTAATAAAAAAATATTTTACATTATTTTTTATTTTTTTTTTACTCATATTTTTTTTCTTGTTTCTTTTTTCATAAATTCTGAGATTGCTTTTAACACAATTCGACAATTTTTTTTTTATTCTTTTTAAAACAAAAAGTTCGTCATAAAACAAAGAAGCGTTGACAAAAAAAAAAAAAACAAATATTATTTATACCCAATGATTTGCTAAGTAGCTAATTAGTGATATTGACGCACAACATATCATCGCATAAGGCGCATAACATTAAAAATGAATGTTATATTAAGGGTGGTAAATATAACGGAAACATTTTATTGAAAATTAGCACTTAACGAAAGGTGACTTTTTGTTTCCTGTTACACATTTGTTTTATTTAAAAAATTAATATTCGCTCTCAAGAGTGAGAAAAATAAAATCAAAATAAATTTTTTTATTTTTTATTACTTTTCATTGTTAAATAATGTATTTATGCATCACTAACAACAAAAACAAACAATAATACTATATACAATACATTGCAGTATAAAGGCAACAATAACATAAATAATAAAAAACACTCAGAAATATTAAAAATAAATATCAAATACAAGTATTTTTAGCTACAAACTCTAATATATTCATATATTAACTTACATTATAATCGTACTCTAATTATGTAGGTATATAAATTGTAGTGTGATATGTCACATAATTAATTAATATGTATATTATGTAATTTATTAAGTAAAATATTATTTTCCAAATTTTGAACACATCACAAAGCTCAACATTGTTACAAATTTTTCTATGTATGGCAATTTAAATAAAATTTCGTATGAAATAAAAGAAAAGCAAGTTTCCACTTTTGTAACAACATTCGAAAGAGAATAGTTCTTATATTACGGCAAGGGATATGAATATTTTCGGAGTGTTTGGACAAAGTCGCTCATCTTAATTTTAAAGCGAAAATTTTGCAACTTGCCGATAACATTTTTATTATTTACTACATAGGCTTGGCTTTCACCAATAATTTCAGCAACAATTTCACCATTAATCGAAACCAATAGAAACAAACCTAAATATATTACTCTACTAATTGTTGAAGTCTAAATTATAATTAAGATGAAAGTACATACACATATCTATTACAAAATAATTTTATATAATAATAGATATTATAATATAATGTTATTCTCAACATTATTATAATAGATGTTATAATAATGTTAATGATTGAATTTTTAATTTATTTTATATTTTTTTTAGACTTACATTACACAAACTCAAAAAATTTTCTAAATTCTTTAGCAAATTAAAATACAACAAAATACATACATATGTATTTGGAAATACATACTTCGAGCTGTTATATAAGTATACACAAACATATATATATTATGGTATAAAATTGTCTGTTATGTAAACTACTAACATTACATGCATGTTATTTTTTCATCCAAATTTCAAAACCAGCAATTTTTTAAAGAAACAAGGAAATGAAACGAGAATAAGATGAAACAGGTTCATAACTTTACTTGAACATAATATTTATTTAGCAAAGACAACAAACACTTCTCAATTATTTTTAATTATTGTGAATAACAACGCAAAAATTATTTTTATCAATAAAAAACATAAAAATGTAATAATGGTTACCATTACATACATTTTTTTATTTTTCAAAACTTGATTTTTACATTTTTTCAATTTTAGTCAGTGAATAAAATTCTGAATATTTAAAAATGTAAATAAAACTACACCATATTGTGAATGTATTGTATTATGCGACATCTATATTTTCATTTCAAAACTTAGTTTTATTCCACATATTTTGCTTCTTTTCTTATCCCTTTCAAATACTATATAGTATATACCATTCTGTATGTAAGTGTAAATATGTATTATTGTTTTCCTTCACAAACTCTGAAATTAGAGTGAATAAAATATATTTACAATATAATTTCAATTTTTTCTTTTTATATCAGTGTTACCATTTTTAACAAAAGTATTAAGATATTAAACTAAATTCATAACTTAAGATCACACAGCTAAATTTTAATATAATAATTTAATAATTATTTATTTTTAAGCATGCAAGCCCCCCATTATAATAAATCATAAAAAACTTACAATTTAAATTAAGATATAATTTCTAAGTTTAAAACTTTGTTATGTAGCTTTATTAACTTGCATTAAATTTGCATTCGTAATTATTTAATTTATTGATGCATTAATATTCAGCTAAAACTAGCTATTAAGTAGCTGATAGCTTTCGATTACATTTAAATTTAACAATGATCTTATACATAAATTGAAATATGCACAATTTGTACTAATATCAATTCAAACAAAAAAAAAATTACTTGAATATTAAGATTATTGTATGTGATTATCAATAATAATAGTAATTAAAACTGTGCATAAGACCGTTTATTAAGTTTAAATCTGAATAAATGTAAAATAAAAACTTAGTTTGACAATTTTCCTTTTACAGGCCGTGAGATTTTCAATCAATGTGCATGCGTCAGATTTTCAAATATAAAATTTTAATACATAATTGCTTTTACACAATGACATCACGATAATTTTTACTTATCTTTGGCGGTCTTTATATAAAAAAAAGTGAAAATTCATTAATTGACAAAAATGGCTAGAGAATAGAAGTTCCAATCTTTTTAATGTATTCCAGACACCCAGGAACCCTCATTACAGACCCTTAGGAAAAGCAAAGCTAATCCAGGTTAGGTTAGCTTTTAGTACGCAAAAAAAAAACTAAAAAAATAATGAATTCTTTATATAAGCAGCCAAAACAGCATTCTGCAAAAAAAAAATCTAGTTTAACCATTTTTCATTTTATATCATTCTGTCAACACTCTATCTATTTGCAAAAATTTTCGCGCTTCTTCAACTTTCATATACAAACTTTCAAACACTGAATTTACAAAAAAATACAATTAATATATAGTTATTTCTTTTACACTCATTCAATAAACATTATTTATTTATCTGTTTTCATATAAATCACAAAACAGTCATCTCTTTTTCTCTTCTACATTTTTTTTTCCTGTTTTCATAAATATTTATTTCTTTCTCATTCTTTTAATAGTTGTAAAAAAAAAAACACAATCTTTGAAACTTTCGCTAATAATAATATGTCCGTCGTCGAAACAAAATGTATATCAAGTTCACAATTGTACAAACATATACAACAGAATTTTTACTACGTTTAAAATCTTTTAGAGTAAAATTCTCCTGTTATACTCTTCTGCTTGACAATTTATATATGTATATAAACATAATAAACAAAAAAAAAGAAATAGAAAACAAAATAAAACAGTCAAAATCAAATTTGTAATTGAATTGAATGAAAGTGGAAGGAAGAAAAAAGATATTTTTGTCGGTCGGTCGGTGTCGCTGCTGTCGGTAGAGTGTAGAGAGTACTAGAGTAGTTGAGACAAATTGAAAACTGAAAAATTTTTTCATCAATATACAACAGTGTGTTAGTTTCCATATTGCGTCGTCTTTTTTTGGTCCAAAAAGAAAAAAAAAAGTTTAAGGAAAGAAAATAATAATATTAATAGAAAAAATAATATTAAAATAAAAGAAAAAAAAACATTTTCTAAAATTATTTATTTATTTTTTTTTCTACCAAAAAAGGTAAAAAAATAAAATATTTTCAAAGTTTTTTTTTTGTATATTTTTGTAAGTTGAAAAAAAAAATATTCTAGTTCGTCCTTAAGAAATTTTTTTAATTTTATTAAGAAGGAGAAAAAATAATTTAAAATTTATATTCTATTTCTACCAAATAATTGAATTTTAAATAGTTTTAAATATTAAAAATTTTAATTTTGTGAAAAAAAACCAAGGTAAAAATTATAATACCATAAAAAGAATAAATCGAAAAAAAAGAAAAGAAAAAAGGCAAAAATTTTTAATCAAAAAGTACAGTAGTTCGTATGGGTGTTGCGTGCCCCATTTTTAAAGTGATCTAATTTACACGGAAATTTCAATATTTACAAAAAAAAAAAAAGTAAATTAGGAACCTCAGCCTGCAAGAACACAAGAACATAAAATTTTCTCGAATATTTTTTTAATTTCCCATATTGTAAAATTTTTATTCTAGCCTAGCTTTTTTTTTTTGTTAAAATTTTCACGTCATCATTAAAAAAAATTTTTTTTTTTAATATTTTATTTCATTTTTTTTATTTTATTATTTTTCTTGTTTTTTTTTTTTTAAGATTTGGAAATCAGAAAAGAAAAAAGAAATCCAAAAAACAGAAAAAATACTTTGCGTACGAAACGAGAAATTTTTTGCTTAGTTGTAAGAAGAAGGAAAAAAAAAATATTTTTGACTTTCAATCGTTTTAAATATTGTATATGTACATAAAAATATAGATATATATACTTATATGTATATATATATATATATAAACGTAAAGAGAACCCATACATGAATAACACTTATAATATATAGAGTAGCGTAGCGATCTCTAAATGGCCATTTTGCAGTTGCTGTGATTTGTCCATACACAACCATCATCATCATATTATACCGCTAATATTTTTTAAAATTAATTTTGATTTATTTTTATTGTTTTTTTTTTGTATTTTGTGAATTGAAAAAAAAAATAGAAAGAAAAACGAGAATTAAATCTAAAAGGTAAGTTTTTTTTTTTTTTTTAGCAAGACTTGAAAAATATTTTTCCATATTGTAGGTATTTTCGTATATATTGCGATATTGCAAAATCTTTTTCTTTAAAAATACATAATTTATGAAAAATACATACAAATATTTACATATAATAATTATATATACACAATTTGTATACATATCTACTTATTTTTCGCTTAAAATATATATGTATGTATGTAAAAAAAAATGCTGATTGACTTTGCAAAATCTAAAAAATACGACTAAAAATATAAGTATTACAATTTGTACATATGTATATATCGATAAATATGCATATATGTACATATATAATATATATATATATATATATATAAAAATAATATAAAATACACAAATATTGTATATACATATATATATATATATATATATATATATATATATATATATATATATATATATATATAATATATATATATATATATATATATCTAAATTACATATGTTCATATTTAGATATTTTTTATTTCTTTAAAAAAAAATTTTTTATATCAAAAATATAAGTGAAAAATTAGATATATTTACACTAAATATACATATATGTAGGAACATATTTACTTTAGTATATATATATATTTGTCTACTTATTAATATATATGGCTACCTTATATACCGTATATACATATATACTCGTACAATACTTAATACAATTTGTATTTTTTGATTTAATTTTTCTTATTTTTTTTTTTTCCAATATGAATATTAAACTCATGGTTTAGTCGCGTGAAATAAAATAATTTAGTATTTAAAATGACTTGTGTACACTTTTAGGTGGGTACGAGGTAAATAGTGAAAATGGACTAACTAACTTGATAAAATTTTATATCGTATTTTTTTAGGTTCCTATTTCTACAAATACTTTATTTGTATGATATGGATCATCCTAAATATTTGAGCAATATATAAATAGCTGTTTTAAATTTTTCTTATTTTTATAATATAATAAATTAATTTTATTTGAGGCGCTTTAAAGTCTGCCTGGATCATTTTTTTTTTTTTTTTTTTTTGAAAAAATCATATCCGTATTTTAGCTAGTTCTTTTCTAGAAATTTTAGTTTTAAAAAAGAAAACCGTAAATTGTCGAAAAATTGATTAGAGTGAATTTTATAAAATATTTAAATCTATCCCCTAGAACTACGTACATAAAAAGCCATAAATCTTAGTAGATATTTCAAAAAAATAACTTCTTTTTCATAACTAGATGTAGATTCATACGTTTCTGTACATACATTGTTGCCTCTAATACAAAGCTGTTTTTACCAATTGAAACAATCTTGGCGCGATATCTTGTACAAAACAATTTTTTTTATACCTACTTACCTAAAACTCATTTTCGGTATGCTTAAAATGTTTACAATGAAAAAAAAAAAAACAAATTATAGAGGGAATTTCAAAATTCTTGTACCAAAAGGTGTTTAAACAAAAAAAGAAAACACTATCTTTTTAACGTTATATTGTTTGTGTCGATTTTCGGTTTGTGTTTGTGTATATGATGAAAAATGCATCTGGCTTTGATTTTTTCTTTTATATACAAATTTACCTATATAAATTTGCACAATATCTTCTGATAATTTTTTGTTTTTATTTTTATTTACAGAACCTTTTCTCAGATTCATTTGGAAATAATAGACCAAATAATCTTAAAAAGGATATATATAAATAGAAATCTTTCAAAATAGATTTCTAGTTAATTTCGATTATGGCACTAAATATAGCCGTCCCATTAACAGGCGTTGGTGGCCTATCACCGATTTCCCCAATTGGTCTAGACTGTTGGGAAAATGTTAAAATTTTAGCATCGCCAATTGGAAGTGAATCGAGTGGTGTCAGTTCACTTGACTCTGACGAAATCAAGGTAATTTCTTAAAGTTTAAAATAAATTTAAAAATAAAAAACAGATTACATGCCAATTTATTTATCAAAATTATAAAAACTTTCATGATGATTAATAAAAAAAATATACTATAAGAAAAGGCTAAAAGCTTGAATTAATACGACATTAGTTGGTTTTAAGCTTATATTTGGAGTATCCAAACGAGTATTTATTACTCAAGAAATTGCTCCGGGAAGGTCTGAGAATGCCAATTTATGTCCCAGCTGGACACTTTGATAATTCAAAGGCAAAATAACAGAAAATTTTGTTGTTATCACGTAGTTATCGTATTTAATGTTTTTGTTCATTCTAAGCATTTTTACGTTAATTATTTGTGATTTGGAATTTTTTGCGGCTAGCGTTATAAGTTCAATATATAAGCTAGAATTAATTTCTTCAATGATTCTAGAACCCAATTCAGACTACTCTGAGACCAATTAATTCGGTAATTCAAGAAATACCTTAAAAAGTTTTACTGAAATTAAAATAGTTTATAAACATTTTTCAGTTTAGTTTTTAGAAGCACTTAATAATTTTTCTTCTTACTCAATTTATTTTTGATGTTTATTTTTATACATAATGCATCATAACGCAGATGCAACAATGTCATTTAAACCACAACAATCACCACCAATTGCAACAGGAGCCTTCACAACAACAAGCATTCACGTTGGACTTAAAATCAACGTCTCAAGTAAATGTTACTAAAAACTCAAATCAAAATTTTGCTAATATTAATAATATAAATCTAAATAATAGTAATAATAATAATAATGCATTAATTGTAAACATAAACAATAATAATAATAAAAATATTATTGTTATTAAAAAACTACAAGACTTAAAAATAATGTACAATGGCCGTGATATATTAGATTTAGGTAAAAATATCGAAACAAATACAAAACTTTGGAATTTAAAATATACATATTTACCCGAAAACAATAATATACCAATGTTTTTGGCTAATCGCTCGCAATATCATCGTTTGGGAGCTAATGGTCACATTCAAGAATACACATTATATCATTGCGATCACTGTGATTTTCAGTTTCCTGTTATGATAAATACTGCAAATTTTATGGCTCAAACTTCTTTGAATGTAACATTGACAACAAACTCATCAGCTTTATACACAAATTCGTCAAAAAATTCAGGAGGAGTTTCCCGATCAAATACTAATGTAACAAATTCTACATCAACAATAACTTCCATTAATAACAGTAATTCAGGCACTGTTGGTTCCAAACAAGGCAAACCAAATAATAATAATAATTATAATATATACAATAAAAATAACTCGAAGCCAGTAAAAAGAGTTCAATTGACCAAAGAAGAATTAAATGAATGTGATTTTTCTTATAATTTAAAGAAAATTTTAATCGACTATAATAATTCTTTAAATAATGGAATGCAAAATTTTCCAATCAAATGCAATAATAATATCAATAATAATAATAATATTTCAAATAATCAAATACCATTAATATTTTCACATAGTGTTGCTGCAGTTGCCGCTGCTGCAGCATCATCACCACAATTATCATCTCAAGCTACATCACCATCATGTTGTTCCTCATCCGGTTATAGCTCAAATGGTTCAACCCATTCACTATTTTCCGGTAATAATGGTATTAAATATCCAGTTGCTGCAATGGCACCAAATTGCAATAATAATAATATGAATATGAATGTACAAAATAACTTTGGTAAAAATTCCGGTATACCTTTTCAACAACAGCAATCACATCAACAACAACAACAACATCAACAACATCAACAGCAGCAGCAACAGGCTAAATTAAACTATAATAAAAGTCCAACTGGAATCAATAACACAAATGCACACAATAATAACAATAATAATAACAATAACTCATTTTATTCATTATTGAATTCTTTGAATAATAATATGAATTTGAATAACAACAATAATAATAATAATAGCAATACAAACGGAAACTGCAATAATAATTATGGAAACAATTTCTGGAATACTAATAATAATAACAATAACAATATAAACGGTTTGTCCTACGGTGCCAATAATAATAATAATTTATCTAATCATAATATGAACATTCACAATCCAAATTTAATTAACAATAATAGTGCAAATAATCAAAATTTTGCCAGAATGTACAAATACTTTTAAAATACTAAATAAAAATTAAATGAAAACATAATATAATCCATATAAAAACGGTCAAGTTTAATTTTTTCACTGTTAAAATAAAAAAAATTCTTTAAGTCTGAAAAAAAAAAATTTTAATAATAATATTGACCTATTTGTTTTTCTATTTCATGAATTATTTAATTAATATATACGAAAATTTTTGCAATAATTCTAATAGTAAATTTTTGTATTAATTGAATAAGAAATGTATTTCTTTTTAATCTTTTTTTTTTATTGAAAATTTCTATTTAAAAAAAATATTTATTTTTTTTTTATTTTTCTTGTACATAATATATAGGATATATATGCATGTATATTTAGTAATATATATTTTATATATTATATTATATACATGCTATATAAACTGCAATTGCAATACAAAAACAAAAAAAGCTAATTAATTAATTAATATTTTATTACTTAATTTTTAATGCACAATATTGTAACGGTATGTTTTACATAAAAATATAACAAAAAAAAAATTAATTATGTAAATATTTGAGATAATAATGGAAATAATAGGCAATATCACTATTAAAATTTTAAAATGTTTTTTTTTTTTTTTAAATTAATTAATTAATATTTACTATTACAATTCAAACTATATATTATATAATGTACGTGTATACTTAATTATATGGAAAATATTGAAATAAAAAAAGCACTCTCAATGTTATCATTGTTTCTAAAACAAAAATGCAAAATTCATTGTTAATAAAATTATAAAGGCAGTATATAAATATTAAATATAAGAAAAACTGAAAAAAATAAAAACGTAAAATATTAGTTTTTAAGTTGTTTTCTAATTCTCAAATTTTGTTGTTTGATTTATAATGTATTAATTTTTTTTTTTCCTTTTTTTTTTTTAAAAAAATAAATATGTATTTGTATATATAAGTATACTTTCAATCATAACTTTAAAAAATCATAAAACAAAATTAATTTTAAGTTATCATGGTTTTGAAAGAGAATGAAAGATAAAAAAAAAAAGGGAATCACTAATTATTAAGAAGCCAAAACTGAATTTTTAATTATAGATTTAAATATTAGTTAACATATAAATATTTATGCAAAAAAAAAAAAATAATCAAAATACATATATCTAATATAACAATACCTTATTTTGTAATTTTTAATAATATTTAATATCAATATCGGTATAATGTAATAAGTATAAAAAGTTCACATAAACAAACAAAAAAAAAAAAAAGAAAATTTAAAAGAGTTATGTATAACATGTCCTTTAAATTTTATCTAATTCTAAAAGGATTAGACTGATTTTTTAAAATTAAATACAATTTATTATCATGTTTTTATTTTTATTTTTTATTTTAAATACACCATTCATTATTGATTATTGAGATTAAATACTAAAATATTACATTTTTGGAAATGATATCTTACACATGTTTGTATATATATATATATAAAAAAATATATATTTATATTTTTTAAACGAGGAAAATTATTTTGCATGCTTAAATTAATTATTCCTATTTATATATTATTTATTATTATTAAAAAAAAAAAAACAAAAGAAAACCAAACAAAATCAACTCCTGTTATTTAAGAAAAGAAAAAAATCGCTTAAATTACGTGATTGTTCTAACAAAAATTTATATTAATATTATAAATTGTAGAAAGAAAAAAAAGGAAAAATCAGTATTTAAAAAATATTAAGGACTCACACGGAATGTTGAAATTTTAAGTCTATAAAATTTTTTTTCGTCAAAATATTAATTATATAAATTTAAAAAAAAGATTTAAGCACAAGATAATTTTCTGAATTTTTTCCACTATTACAATAATTACATATTATTAATACTTAAATATATATATATATTTTTTTTTTTTTTGCGAAAAACATTAAAGAAATCTTTAAAAGACGACAATTTGTTAATAAATAAATAATTAAAAAAAGATGGGAAATTAATAAATTACTTATTAATCATTATATAAGAGAAAAGCTATCACAAAACTATATAAAATAAATAAAAAAAAAATTTATATTAGACTTACTTTATTCTCGCTTTACTCATTTACATTAAAAGAAAAACATAGGGAAAAAAGTTATAATAGTAAATAAGTTTAAACGAAATTTGAAATACAACAAAAGAGTTAAGAATATATATAAAAAAAAAAATACAAATTTGCTTATTTATAAAATTAATTTTTTTATTTTTAATTTTGTTCTCTCAATATACATTAAATTTTTTTTTAAAAATATTTTATTTTATATATTATGTATTATTTAAGTTTTGTTCTATCCTATTAATTATATAAAATATTAAAAGAAAAAAAATGAAAAAGAAAAGCAACAACTGTTTCGTTTTTTTTTTCCAGATTATTGATTTGTTTTTCAATGAATTATTGAAGTTTTTTTTTTAATTTTATAAAAATAATATATAATGTATGTATATATATATATAGATAGTACCTTAATAGAATTATTAGATTTACCATTTAAATAATTAATACAAAAAAAATCATTAAAGTTTTATGAAACGGCCAATCTATTTATAGTTGTATTGTGATTTTATAGAATATTAATTATGTATATTATTTTTTAATTAAAAAATTATTAAAGATAAATGCACAAATTAAGATTGTAATTAATTTTCTTTTTTTTTTATGATTAATATAAATTATCTTTTAATAAATTTGAGATCCATACCTCTTACATTTTGTTTTCTTGTTAAGAAAAACAAAAAAAATCAAAATTTTTATGAACAATAATATTCAAGATTATTTGAAAAATTTAATATTTTTAATTGTATTAACTCACATTTTATTATTATTGCTAAAAATTCAGATAAAATAATAAAAAAAAAAAAAAACAACCACAAATTTTTTGTACTTAAAAAATGTAATTTTAATAACTTATGTAACAAAACGATTTTATTGATAAAAAATAATATTCAATTTTGAAATAATAAAAGCAATTTTCAAAATAATAAAAAATTTATATTAAGTACATATGAAAACATCTCCCATCTAACTTAAATTAAAAAAAAAAACAACAATTGTTTGAATTTAAAAAAAAAAATGTTTCGTCTAAAATTGTGTTAAACTATATAATATAAGTAACAGTTGTTTTAACAAAATTAAATATAAAAATTGAATTCTCGCCTAATTAACGGGCCGATAACTTTATGTTTCCTAAGGAATTAATAAAAAATGAAAAACATTAAGTCCTTGTATGTATTACGAATTTGTAGCAATTTTGTAACAAACATTTGAACTATTACTATTAAGACATAGACTAGATATAAAATATATCAAAGATGTTAAAAAATTTTTTTTAAATATTTATTGATTTTTATAACCCTCAATATTGAATTTTTTAAATATCATTAAAATTATTATATGAAAATATTATGGAAGCATAAAAAGATGGGCTAAAAAATAAATATGTACGACATTCTTAAATTGTTTTCTCACTTACTTTTTTATAATAACATTAAAAAAAAAATTTTTTTTAATTGAATTTTAATGTGTTCTTTTAAATTTTACTGATATTTTATTTTTATTTTAAGAAAAACACAGTAATATCTTTTAAATAGCAAAAAAAAAATATTCATTTTTTACAAGCTCGATTTAATTTTTATTAATGTTTTTAATAAATAATATAAAAATGAGTAATTTAAAATAAATTTTCACAATAAAACTATAAATTATTTGTAAAATAGAAAAAAAAAAGCAAAAATGAAAAACGATAAGGAAAACAATATTCCAATTACCGTCCTTATAATTTTTTTTCTTATTTAATTTTTAATAATCATTTTTTTTTAAAATTGCTTTTTCTTCAAATTAAATAAAAAGTTTGCTAAATGATTTCTAATATGTAATGTAAATCATTTTTGGTATCAAATATTGGATTTCTTTTATTCTAATAAAAAAAAAAAATACTATCTAAGAAGAAAATCAAATAACCCGCACGCACCTACAAAATTTGTAATAAAATTAAAATACAATATTTTTTAAGTTTACTTGAAACAAAAAAAAAAAAAACTACATTTTTTTTTTTGTAATGTATTTTCGAATGTAAAAAGAATATTAAACATACATAAAAATAGATATTGTTAAAAATTTTATAAAACAATTTAAAATTGAATATGTCGTTCTTAAATAATAAATGTAAATGTATTTTATTCAATTATAAATTTATGAGAAATTATGTGCATCGCTCTTATCATAAAAAAAAAAAAAATACAAAAGAATTATTAATTCTTAGCAATAACGTAAAAAAATTAAAAGAAAAATTATTAAATTTTAATATTAAAAGAAAAGATATATTTTTAGCAAACTTGAATTTCTTATAGTATTTAAGATTTATAAAAGCAAAAAAAAAAAATTAATATTTGAAGTTTTGTAACAAAAATAATATTTAAAAAAAAAATTAAAAAAAAAAAAAATTATTGAAATTTTTGTAAAATGTGTGATTATAATTTAAGATTACTAGATGTAAAAATATTACGATAAAAAAAAAAAACAAAAATAAAATATTAATTATGAGCAAAATATTTGATTAATATTTATAATAACTTTAAAATTATAATATTACATGTATTATTATAAACATAAAACCAAACAAAACAAAATGATTATTACATGCATTGCAAAAGTAGGTGTTAAGAAAACTTTTTTTTTTTATCCTTATTTTTAAATAAGTTAATTATTTTTTTTTTTATTATCATTATTATTATTTTTTTTAATTAAATCGCTTTTTTATTATGTTTAAACGTTAAACTCTCTCTCGTATCAGAAAAAAATTAATTTTTATTTTAAAATTAAATTTATTGAAAATCAAAAAGAAAAAAGGATAAAATTAAAATATCAATAATTAGTAAAATATTAGAAAAAAGTTTGGATTATATTTTTAAAGCAATAAAGGCATTTAATAAAAATTTGATAAAAAAAAAAATTATTCAACGAAATTAAAATTTCAAATTTTTTTTTTTTAAATTATTTACAAATAAAATAATTAACTTTTACATATTTATATTCAGATTTTACTATTTAATAATATTTATTTCAATACTTATATTTTAAATTATTTCATAATGAATGAATAAATTAATTTATTTTAGCTTTTAAAATGTGTTAAATAATCGATATTATCTGTTTTTACCGTTGAAAAAATCTCAGCATGTATTGAACAGTTTTTAATACTTAGTTATAGAATATGTGTTCATATATTCTCATTATCAGACAACTTGTTCTTTATATCAAAAATTAAGCATTTTGCTAAAAATAAGCAACTATCAGTTAAAAGTTCTCAACAGAATTGTTCAAAAGTTTTGTACTTTTTAGATTAAAATCAATTTTGAAATTACTTTAGAATACAAAGACTTTGACACCG